TTTTCTGGACCCTTATAAGGTGATAGGTTCTGCTCAGTTGGCCAAGCAGTTAATATTTCATAGTGACTCAACAAGATAAATGGCACAAGGTGTCTCCTGAAATTCATGGTTGTGGGGCAGTGAGAATTCAAGACTGAAGAGACAAGGGCTAGTTGTGACTTTCAGGACCTCTGCTCTTATCCTGATCCTTTAAAAAAATTACAATATAAAATGCAATTAAAGAAAAAACTTAAAATAAAATCATTAAACATGCAATTAAAATAATTCATAAAAATGCTATGCACCCCATCACTGGGACCATTGGATACATGTTTAGAACTCATTCAAAAATTATTTCAAGAAATTTTCTGCTCCAAAATTGTAATGATGCTTGTGAAGGTTCAAATCCTTTCCATTTTTTGGCACATATTCAATAAATGCAAATTATTCTTCTTTACATACTTTTTCTCACTATATTCTACTCATTTCCTGGTCATCCTGCTCAGAACCTTATAGCTTGGGTGAGCAATGCTGTTGGTCATGGAGCATCAAAGGGGACAAGAGCATGATGGATGATCCTCACCATCTGCTTCAGAAGGAATTGAGGCAAGAAGCCAACATCTTTGTTTCTTTTGCCCTGAAGGATGACTCAGGGAACAGGGACACCTCTTGCACCCCTTATTTCCCCTTTTTTGCCTTAACCAGACCCTGCTGGGCCATCAAAGTGGCAATGAAGAACTGCTGTTAGCCCCAAAGGCCTCCGCCTACACCTGGGCTATGCTGCTATTAGCACCAGAGAAAGAAGCGGCTGATCCCTTGAATCAGAACCCAAGAACTCCGGTTTGTTGGGCAGTTCAAATTGGCAGTGTGCTTCCTTTCCCCTGCTTGTAAGCGTGAGAGGGACACTTGCTTTGTGTTTGACATATGCTACATTCTCTCTGTGTGAAATACATTGCTATGAATTTGTTTTATCTGTCATGTGTATACTTTGTGTTTTGCGTTCTGTTTGTGCTGCCATCTGTGACCACATACATACATTCTATGTGTATGAGAGAGAACAAAAGGGCTTCTTCTATCTGTGTGCAGTATGTTGTAAAAAGTTTGCCAGAATTTCACTGGCTGGATTAGTCTGTGAAGTGTTCCATGTAAGGACAATGCATAAATATTTTCTCCTTGATGTTAAAGTGAGATGTGTGATTTGTTCTATGGTGCCTGTGTGGCTTGGCTCACTTTCTTACTTGCTCATCATGAAGGTTATTTCCTATATTCTGATGGTAGCAGAGTTCTGTTTGGTATATGTGAAATGTGGGGAGGGGGAGCTGAGTTTGTGTACACAGAGATATGGTACTGTCCAGTATATGACAGTACTTAAGGCAGGGAAGTGTATCTTGCTTAACTTGGCAAAATGAATTAAGCTGACTCTGAGTTAGTCTAAATGTGAGGTTTTCTTTGTTTCTTGGAAATGTCATACTTCTAACATTTGCCTGGATAGAAAATAAGTATATTGAAATCATACTGATCTTGAACTAAATAATGTTTATACTTAGTGCATTCTGACCTCATTCAGAGAGGCAGTTGCTTTCCTATCTTTCTTTCAGAACAGATACTATCATTCAGAAATATCTATCTGTATTTATGACACAGAGACCAGAAACATCAAAGAATTCACAGGTAGAAGGTGGGGCTGCAATATAATGTTAAGCATACCCATCATTTGAATCTTGGCTCACTATGGCATTTTTGTAATGATGCAATTTTTGGGCCTTTTTGTACCTTTGTAGTATGTTTTTATTTAAATAAAAAATTTCAACCTAAAGCAGGAGATGTGTAGATTAGGAAAACAGTCACAAACATCAAGGTAGTAAGGACTTCCTCCTAATTTAACTTCTGTTCATTTAACTGTGATAACTGTTATCTTTTTGTTAACATTCTATTTTGGTGCTAGTCACAACCTCACTCAATCCGTTCAAGCAAATATCCACAAGAAACAAAAGGTAATTGTTTTCTAATTGTGTGAGGAAGGAAACCCAGGTGTGTTATGAGCTAAACTTCCCATAATAGTTTGGACCAAGCATGGTAGGAATTGACACAGTGGAAGTAAATATACTTCTTACTCATTTCCTGTAAAATACAGTATTTGGAAGTGCTTGGGCTCTAGGGAGAAAGACAGGGAATCCCTTAATAAAATCCACAAGGCCCACTTTAAGTAAAAGCAGGCCCCCTTCCCTGGTCAATAGCCTAAGCTGCTCTGGCAAGTGGAATTGGCAAAGCTAGTAGCCTGTGCCAATGTGGTGCATTCCAGATATGCTGGACTACAAATTCCTTTAAATCCAGCCAGCATTATACATCCTCAGAAATGATGGGAACTGTAGGCCAATTCATCTGAAGGATTCCACACACAGGAAAAATGGGAAAGGGTCAAAATTCAACTGGGATAGTTGTTACTTGTTCAGCTAATCCAGGTGATGGGAAAGACCAGCACAGCTACATTTTTTTCACATTGCAATGCCTACTATCGCTGTACCAGTCTCCAGTGTTGGGGGACGGGGCGTTTCTCTGCAGGTAATTTTTCATTTTCTATAAATGTTACTGATTGATAATCTGGGATTCTTGCAATAAACCGATTATATATGTACATAGACTTCTTTTCTTTTCTTTTATAACTTTTCTTTTATGACTTCTTTTATATCGTTTATATTTTTTATTTATTTTATATTATTAATTTTAATTTTATATTGTTATTTTTATATTGTATTGTATTTTATTGTGTTGTAAGCCGCCCCAAGGCTTCAGCAAGGGGCGGCATAGAAATGTTCTAATAATAATAATAATAATAATAATAATAATAATAATAATAATAAATGTATAAAGATTGCTTTGTCTTTTCTGTCCCTATTGGCTAGTTTAAATTTCAGAGATGGAGCTATGACTTTGGACAGAAAATATTCCATGCTTAAGGTTTATGAAAGCCATACAGTAGGACTGTTGAATATTTTGCTTCTTGTCTAACATGCAGAACAGATGGTAAAATCTTTCGATATTTATAAATGGTTCAAGCTATTATGCATTCTGCCTTTCCAAAAACCACCAAATACCCAAGCACTGCTTGATACTAGAATCAAAATTAACATTCAAAGGAAGTGAAAGAATTTTGTAGAATTTGCTCCTAATTCAGGGGCTATGTCTTGCATCAGTGTTGGAATACCAGCATTAGTGGGAGAGTTAGACAACTGCTGGCGGTCCAGAGACCAAGTACACACCCAGCCCTCCCATGTGTGTGCCTTGAACTCTGCAAGGTACCCTCCCCCAAATTAGAAAAGATGTTTTTTGCTAAAATGCAGTTTCAAGCTGCTTCATAATGTTTGGCAGTACCTTAGCTAGTTCTCAAGCTAAATTTGACCCATTTTGGCCACTTAAGTGTTGAAAGTGCCAGGTTTTTGCCCCCACCAAATTAATCAGTGCAGCAGTGGTTGGGGGAGCCCATGATCCATGTGTTGCCCACACCAGCTGCAAGTGGCTGTTTGTATCATGTAGTGCTACCATATTTTCACAGCTTTTGAGTGAAGAGGACAGCTTGTCTCTTAAGTGGAACATAGCAGTTAAATCCTCTGGTTGGCTCAGTAAGACTTGTGAACAGTTCAAAGGGTTAAAATTCTAAAGTTGTTTCAAGAGAAAGTAAATGTGTGTGTTTTCTAGTTACATGGGTTATTTTAAACAAGGATACCCTTTCCGATGTCTTGTTTACACAATCCTATGCAAGTGTAGACAGAAAAAAGGCCTACAACTCCCACTCCCTTGCCAACAAAGCTGTTTGAAGCAATCTGGGAGTTGTAGACCATTTTTCTGTACTACCTTCCCTAGGATTATGCCTTTCTAATGCATTTACAGCACAGATCCGACATGAACGTTTCATCATATCTGAGTTGGTCCACTTCATGAACGGATGTGCATAGGACATAACTAAGATTATTTTGATTCCATACATTTAGGCCAATAGAAAAGTTAAAGTAATGATAACCTATTCTTGGTGATTGACCTGTCTCTACTGGCATGCTTCTTCCTCTCCCCCTGCATTGTCCACACATTGGCAGAAAGTAACGTATCATTCTCTTTCTCAGTCATGGGTATAACAGCTGTGTATTTAATGGGTAGGGTCTTCCCTACTCCCAAGATATAGGCATTTACAAAGATGAGTATGGCAGATATATGGAGCAGAGGTATGGGGCAAGTGGGCATAACCCTCTTTCTAAAACATTCAACTAGTGCAAATATTAGCTGGGTCTTTGAATTAAAAATAACTTTTGCAATGTTCAACAAAATTATCTGCATGACAGGTGAACCGAATGAGTGAATCCCAGGAAAGCCAACTTCCCTCTTTGTTATAACTCACATGTAACTTTTTCCATTTTAAATATATTATATCTTAAGACTTGGAAATAGTAATTGGCCTACAAGTGCCCATACATTTTTAACCATTTCATTACGTAACAAGAGAATCTGATGGATCTTAACTCTGCTGAGACATATCAAGTATTTAGAAAACAAATTACAAGTAATCCATGGAACAATAAATATCTCTTTGCCTTTCATGAAAATGTATCTCATGTTTGTTTGAGTTGTAAAATACATATATGATTGGATTGCAGAAGGACAAGGACATGATCAAAAATGCAGTAGGATGAAAGAAGTGAGTGGAAACAATGCCTCTGCCATTTAAAAAAAACCTGTTCTGTTTCGATCAGTCTTAATGGTAAATTGACCAAAAGTGTATCTGGGCTTGTCTTTTTAAATGCATGTGTAACTTCCACGTCCATAAATGCTTCCTTGGGGAATAAAGTTTGTATTTGAATGTAATGTCAAAGATAAATTTAAGCAGCTAAGACAGTAGTCCCAAGGTCCCAGTAACTTCAGGGAATATTATCAAATTCTCGATGTTTCAGCTATGGTGCCAATGGAACGGATGTCTCAAAATGACTGGATCTGTCTCTACAGCACATCTGTTTTTTCTCTTGCTTTCATAGATCATGATGTTGAAAGTGACCTTCAACCATACCTCTGTGGATCAATGCAAAGAACCCTGCAACCAAACCCAATGCACAGAACTACAGCCAGAGTGCAATTTCTTCTTAACTGCTATCCGCTTGGCTTCCCTGAATCAGATCTTGGACCCCTGGGTTTATCTGCTGCTTAGGAAGATCCTCCTGCAGAAGTTTTGTCAAGCAGCCAATGCCATCTCTTGCCACTCTCAGGATGGATGGAAAGAGCGGCACTTCATGCTATCAGACAAAATCAGGCACACAGCAGCATGAAGCATCTTGCACGCCAGCGACTTTCCTCACAGCCTTGTTTACCTTACTGTGAATGTGGATATCCAGCATATCCCCAATTCTCTCTGTAAGTTAATCACTGTCAGAGCAGTATGGCAACGGAACCTACTACTTGAGGAAGTTGTGGGCTCTGGCTGGTTAGAAACACTCAAAAAGCATTTGGACAGTCATGTGGTGTAACTTAGTCTCCTGCAACAGCAGGGGTTTGACCTGATGGCCTTCTGGCCCCTTCCAACTCTCTGATTCTAAATTATATATAGTTTACTTAAACAGCAGATGGTTACAAGAAATGTAACCATTTTGAGAGACATTATAATTGTTTAATTATAATGAGATTAAAATGCTATAAAACATATATAATGTGTCTTTTTGAAATTTGTAATTAAGAATATACATTTTTGCACATGCCAAAGACATTTGAGAGATTTTTCCTCCATATCAGACATGAACGAAAGATTTTTAAATTGAAATTTTGAATGTAGGTTCAGTATTAAATAATATATTGAAGATTGTATATAAGCTTGACTTTAAAATTGTCAGTTATTTCCTTTTGCTTACAGTCTTTTATTACACTCCAGATTGACTGAGAAGTTAGGATACTTTTTCACATTAATTCCAGATGCAAAGGGTATGGTTTGATTCAAGAATAAACAACTTAGTGTGTGTATTACTGGCTTGGTTGTTTCTTCAAATTTGTCAAATGCATGGAGTTGCCACAATAATTATTCATCTTTAATAACAATAAAAGCCATTCCAAATGATAGTAGGTTATTTCTGTACTATCAGTCATTTATGCAAGTCATACTTACTGCGTGGTTCTTGCTGAAGATTCATGTATTCCCCTTATAAAGCACTTAGTGGGACAATGCATTATCCTAGAATTAAAATTCTAACATTTTGCCACTGAGAAAATGGTTGTTTTTATACTAGAGTCATATAGTGCTGGGGACACAACTTTTTTTTCTGTTCAGTGTAACTCCAGCACTACATATTAGTTGCTAATTAACTTTTTACCAATTGCCTTGTAATTAGGCAATTCCTGTTCTAGTTCCACACTGAGTTTTTTCTATCAAAGAAAATAAGCCAATAATTGAAGCCCACTCACAAAGGAAACAGAAACTGACTAAATATAGCACAATTACAAAATTGTGTACTATTGTTATGGTAACAATAACACATTAGTATTGCATTAATAATAGTAGCCACACTGAACAGGAAGAAACTGGAAGCAAAGGAATTATTCTTTCTGGACGAGGAGAAAGGCATAGTAGCATGGGGAAGTGTTGATGTTTTAAGGCTCCCACAAACATCACCACAAATCAGGCCTGAAAAAAAGACAGAAAGGTAAAACAGAAAAATACTGAAATGCAACAGAATGGCAACAGTGAGTTCTAGATTTTGTCACCAAAATTGAGTGAACAAATGGTATCAATTCCTGACTAAATATTTAACATATCTAACATAAGTCCTACTTATCTAACATAATTTTAGCATAAGTCCTACTAAGAGTAGACACAAATAAATAGAACTTAAATTGAACATAGCTAACTTGAGGCTTCACTCAAGTTTGTACAAAAGAAAGGCTTTATTTTTCCAGTCTATAAGTCTAGAAGGAACAAGTCCATTAAGGCAGCAGTCTTACTAATTTCAATTCTTTTTTGTTTTGTTCTTGCTTATCTCACCAGTTTTTATTGATTTGCTATATTTGTTATTATGTTGCCTTGACAGCTTCAACCAGAAAGACTCATAATTTGAATAAATTATATATTTGCCTGAGAGGAAGGCCAGTTGAACTTAGTGGGGCATGCTTCTGAACAGACACACATGGGACTTAAAACAAGAAAGAAATATTTTCAGTTTTTCACATAGTTTCCTCAACTGTGGAAACCTTTTGGTTGGGATAAAACTAACATAGTATGAAAAACATGTCCTTGAGTGAACTTGCATTCCTGCAAGAGTTAGAGAAATGTTTCAGAAACCCTATTCCCTCAATAAGTCTGATTTCAAAAAGTTAACAGTATAAATCAAAAAAGATGTTTTTGTGCAGGGGAATCAAGGGGAGATTTATTTGGAGTGGGCAAAACAACGTACCCTTGAATGTTTTGGTAACCCTTCCACATCTTGGAATAGACTTTCAACTAATAGTTGTGTTTGCATCCCAAAGTGCTTGTCTATCTGTTCAGTTGTAACATGACTGTTGTCCTCTTTCTTCAAGAAGTCCAGAGTGGCATATGTGGGAATCCCAGGACCTTCCTATTTGGGCTTTGCTCAGGCTGGGCAACACTTTAATGCCACAGTTTAGTTTGATCATATTTGTATATAGCAATGCTTCTTTAGTTAAAGCCTAAGAAAATCCTAAACAGAAACCATATGGTAAAGAACAAGTAATTACTATATACAGGCATACCTTGAAAAAATTCCAGGTTCAATTCTGGACCACTGCAATAAAGCAAATATCTCAATAAAGTGAGTCACATGATTATTTTAGTTTCCCAGGGCATATAAATGTTATGCTAAATTATACTGTAGCTTGTTAAGTGTGCAATAGCATTATGTCTAAAAATGTCCATACATTAATTTAAAATACTTTATTGCTAAAAAATACTAACCATCATTTGAGCTCCCAGCGAGCCACAATCTTTTTGCTTGTGGAAGATTTTGTTACAATAGTAACATCAAAGATCACAGATCACCATAACAAATGTAATAATAATGAAAATGTTTGAAGTATAGTAAGAATTACCAATGCTGGAGAAGACTCCTGCGAATCCCTTGGACTGCAAGGTGATCAAACCAGTCAGTCCTAGAGGAGATCAACCCTGACTGCTCTTTAGAAGACCAGATACTGAAGATGAAACTCAAATATTTTGGCAACCTAATGAGAAGGAAGGACTCCCTGGAGAAGAGCCTCGTGCTGGGAAGAATAGATGGCAAAAGCAAAAGGAGATAGCAGGGGATGAGTGTGACTAGATGGAGTCACTGAAACAGTCAGTGTGAGCTTAAGTGGACTCTGGGGGATGGTGGAGGACAGGAAGGCCTGGAGGAATGTTGTCCATGGGGTCGCAATGGGTCAGACATGACTGCAACTAACAACTTCAAGAGATATCTCCTCATGAGTCATCTGTTTGATCTAACCAGATAAAAGCAGGAAGTCAGGACAAATTGAGGTTCCTCTCGGAGGAGAGCTTCCCTGTTGCTGCTGAAGGCTCTGCCAAAGAATGCTGTCCTACAAGGAAGAAGGCTTTGTGGGTATTTCATGTTGTGTTAGTGGTAGGAGCAGCTTGCTTTCTTATTTTTAGTCTGGGGAGGCCAACTGGTCTGGAGGTCTTGGGGTTGCTAAACAGTGTGAGTCCGGTAAAGTTGCTGCTCTCCAAGTCCCTGTTCCCTTCCCTACCCTCATTGTTGTGTGTGTTGTATGTTGCAGCATTTTAAGGCCCTCCACCCCTATATTGTCTATTTTGTCTTTTAATAAATCTGTTTTCCCCCAATTTTGAGTTGTTGCATGCTGAATCCAGTGTCTGGCCCCAGGATTTGGGGATCCAGGGTGGGAACATGAACCCTAGCAGCCGTTCGGCGGGGACTCAGGGGCAGCTGATCATTACGGACAGGACTATAACAGTTGTGCAGAAAAGTTCCACTTACTGCATCACTTCCACACAACTAGTAAAGGTGCACCTATCCTCTTTTGCTTCTCTCAGTCCCAATTCCTATATCCTGGAAGTAATCCCTGTTGAATTTAATGGGCATTACTTTGAATAGACACCCTTTGCGGGGGTTGAAAATGTCTCTAATCTCAGAATTTGTTCATTGAAAATGTTTCTGGGCTGCCTTTCAGATCCAATATCCTCCTAATGCCATGAACCACAATAAAATATAATAAAAACTGACAGAACAAGAAAAACAGCAAAACTATAAGGAAACAGCATTGCTTGCATGTTGCCTCTGAACTGCAGTCTGGCAGTGGCAAGAGAAAAGGAATATAGATGAAATGTAGAACAAACTTTCCGTAGACATCGTGCATTTGTGGCAAAATTTCAAAATGATGCCATCATTACCCTTGTCTAGTTGAGTGCATTCTGTTTTGCATGATTGAGACATGAAAGCAGGAGACAAGAATGTGATAGACAAGAATGTGAGCCGGCTGGTGCCGGAGGTCAGACTAGATGACCCGGGCGGCCCCTTCTGACTCGCTCTGTTTTCTATGTTTCTATATGCCCAACTCCAGGAGCTCGTCTCACTCACCCAGCAGTTGCCAGATTTTTATAATAATCCATATAGAGCACCTTTGCCCCCTTGCAAGGAATGCAAGTCGCAAACTTAATCCATTCCAGGACTCTGGTCGTGACCCAAATTGGTTGTGAGCCAAGTCAAATTTCCTCATAAGGTTCAATGTAAATAAAGTTAATCCATTCTGTAACTTTTTTTTTTTTTGCTCACAAAAATTTGAAGCAAAGTGACAAAGAACAACAAAGATTGCGGCCATCTCCCGTAATCAGGCTGGGGGGGGGAGGGGAGATGGCTGTGATTGTGCTCGGGGGTGGGGGGAGACAGGCACAATCACAAGCACATTTGGGGGGAGATGGGCGCGATTGCGGGCACGCAGGGGGGGAGACAGGCGGATCGCGGGTGTGCTGGGAAGGCTGGCGTGTTTCTGCCTTAGTGGTCCCTGAGGTGGTTTTCCTGTTTTTGCTGGTCCCCAGCTGTGGAAAGGCTGAAAACTACTGGGCTAGAGAACACAATCACACAACCACCTATATCTAGTTTTCTGTCTGAGAGATGCAGGACATGGCTACTTCCCACATACACATGGGGTGGGGGGGAAAGTTGAACAAAAGTAATTGAAAGGTACGCCACTATTCTACATCTGTTGATTTTTATAGCAAAACTGAATGTTAATTTATCTGAAGGAAAATGAAAAATTCATTCATTGTTACCTCCTTTGCAATAAAAAAAAATCAGCAGGGGACTGGATGCAAGAAGTTTATAGGGAGGGATGAGAGAGAGCGAGAGAGAGCGAGAGAGAGAGAAGCAGTGTACCCGGTGCATTCAAAGCATTGCTTAGTTTAGACAACAGTCAGGCTGTGTTTGTGGCGTTTCAAAACAGCAAACTGATATGCATGTTTATTCACAGGTAAATCCCATTGTATCTAATAGAGCTAACAGATTGGACTGCAGCCAAAATTGCTTATAAAATTATGTTCTTTCGCTCTATTTATCCAAAATGTGGTAGGTGTTGGAAACTTCATGCCAAATTAACCAACAATAAAAAAATTACATGCAGGAGAAATGTAGATGTGTCTCCCATCCAAAGTAATGGGAATGTTACAGGATGTGCATCTTTTAAAATCAATGTTCTATTTTTTAAAAGCCTGCTTCTAATTAAAAGTCCTTCATGAGCACTGGCAAAGTAATAGAATTCTTGCTAATTTCTTGCCATTTGGATGCTTTTAACATCCCCACTTAATCATAACCAGTATTCCAGGATCCATGTCCCCAAAAAAATACTGGCTCTAAAATATATTGATGCAGCACTAATATACAGCATCGATCACACTTGCTGACATGTGAAATGAACATCATTCAAGTACACAGTGAGTTGTTTGCAGATTTAGCCATGTTTAGAGTAATCCCAGTAAAATCAAGAGATTTTAAGTTAATTGTGGTTAACTGAGGCACCACTAATTTTAATAGCTCCATTCAAAGTATAACTAAATTTGGAACTAGCCCAGTGATTTACCTAAATAATAAGTTAATGAGTGAAGATATGAATCTCAGTTTTTTTGATGCAAACCCAGTGTTCCTTTCACTGAGCCATCTTTTGTATATTTCATAGTCCATGTGCATTAGTTTGGCTATTAATATAATTGTGGTGAGGACTTAGGTAACCAATATCAAGGCAAAAAGGAGGCTACACTATGGTGCAATGTAACCTTATCTGACATATTGAATGAAGCAAGATAAGGCCTCACCATATGGCTGGTTATTCTTTTTGCAGACATAAAGCATTACCTAATGGTTCAAATTATCTTCTTAATATAACCACTTTGTTTGGTTAGCATTCATACCACTTGGCATGCTAGAGTGTTACGATAATTAAAAAAAACTTGCCACTTTACTTAGTCTGGAAAACACAGAAATATAATGACGGGTCCAGTCTTATGGCACAGCAATTGAACAGGAAACCACTTTTCTTCTCAAATTCAGGTGGGAAGCTGGCTATGACTTGATGTAGCCTAAAGAATCAAGACAGATCAAGAAGGCCCCATGTATATACTCGTACACTAGCATAGCAAGATTTTCATCTATTTAAACATCAGTACATTTTTATATTTTTTAGAATGCCTGTGAAATCCTTTGCAGCATGACTGCAAGTCAGGGTAGGCAACTGTGAGACATCCGAGGTCCATTTTTGCTTCCCTGAACTCCCCCCACCATGGGCTGCAGTCCCCAGGGTTCTACATAGTCAACAGGACACCCCCATCAAGTTTTTTTAGAATAGGGATAAGGTGCTGAAATTCAAGGTCAAACCATTCTATAGTGGTTACAGAGCACCAAAGGTGGGTTGTGGGGGAAGGGGGGAGGCAGTAGGGATCTCATGCAGTCTGTGGGTAGCAAAAACTCTTGTTTTTGACATTGCTCAGATCAGTGTTTACTCCATTATTTGGAGAGCTCTTGCCTTAATTAGGCCTTCCTCCTTGCCACTGTTAGCACTGTTCAAAGCATTGGCTTGCTCTTTCCATCTGCACCTCAATTCACACAGTTGACCAGAAGGAAAGGCAAAGTAAGTGAAGGCCACTGCTCCTTCTCCTTGCTTTTATCACATTCTACATGCTTGGACAGAGCAGTTAAGCAGGGAACAACAGCAAGAGAGCTTTGGCTGTTAAATGGCATGGACATTAATTTAAAAATAGTAGATAAATAGAATGAAGGTGCAAGAGGGCCACAGGTCTCCAGCTTCACACAGTGGAATCCTGCTCAAATGTGAGTATCAGTGGATGCCCAGCAATACCACTTCTCATCCCATTTCCAACTTTGTTGCAGCTCTTCAGTTGGCCTTATCTAAAACATTTCCTTTGTTGCACAGGAAATGGCCATTCAGTTTCAACTCTTGCATAAGACTGTTGATGTTAATGACACGGGCACAAGTGAAAATTATGCATTCTCCATGAGTAAGATCAGGCAGTATCTCATCACCCTGGGTATCTACTTCCTAGACAGAACAGGGGCTTCACCAGGCAGTAAAAGGAATCACAGTTTCCCAGAAACAATAATGCTGCCATTTGAATGCTGTGCTGGAAATGAAAGCACTTACTTGAGAGAAGAGGTCTATGACAGCATTTGTTGAACTATGAACTGAATGGCTGGGAGAGAGTCATCAAACAAGAAATGTTTTGCTGTACTGTACTGGGAACCAGATGTTCATAAAAAAAACAGAACTA